CCGGCCTGGGCAGGAAGGAGGTGGCGCTAGGCTGGGAGCCCGGGATGGTGGCTCCGGCTTCCAGCGTGGGCTCCAGACCCTGCCGACTCCCCGCAGCCGCCTCGCTCCCCGTTAACCCCCCAGGGAGACCCGGCCAGCGCGGCCCATGTGCCTGCCACCGCACCTGCCCTCGCCTTCCCCGGGCGAGACCAGCTGCCACTTCCTCCAGGAAATAAAGAGATGGTGTCCACCTACACCGTGAAAATAACTTATTTTTTAAAAAAAGTCACGTGTACCGTAAGTTGACTCTGGCAGGACCACAAGCAGCAGATCCCTAGAAGTCCCTCCCTCCTGCCCAGCTCCCCTGCGCCCGCCCGTGGCCACTCCACCCTGCTCTGTCTCTAGGAGCGTACTCCTTTGCACACCTTTGTGTAAGTGCAGTCAGAGGCGGAAATGACCCACCTGTGCATCGATGGTGGGTGGAGAGAATGAGGTCCATCCCGCGATGGAATGTTCTCAGCCACAAGAACGAGGGGGATCAGACACCAGCTGCCACTGACCTGGAGGACGTTGTGCCCACTGACAGAAACCAGGCCCGGAGGGGAGACACTGCCTGCCCCTGACCCCCTGGACTGTCCTCGGGTTGGAACGTGGAGTGGGACAGGCTCTCCATGCCGGCTGTGAGTTAGAACCACCTGAATTTCACTTCACAGCTCTGCTGCCCAAGCTGCTTCCCAGACAAATCGAATCTCGACCTCTGGAACCTGGGAATTGCCAGCTTCCCAGTGGTTCCAGCGTGTGGCCATGTGGAAACCCAGGATCTGAAGTCAGGAAATCCAAGTCTTAGCCTGGAATCTGCCACTTACCCGTAGGGGACTTGACAGTGATGAAAGATGAACAGCCTTCCGTGAGCACTGGCGCATTGCCCCTGCAGATGCTGCCACGGTGATTCAGGAAGCTGAGGCCCAGAGAAGCCATGCAATTTGTCTCAGGTCACACAGCAGGAAATTATGGGGCCACATTTGCTAGGCACTTCCCAAACACAATGGAGAGGCAGCTCAGTGGGCAGGATTTGCCAGGGAGTGGAGGTCCTCTGGTTCTGGGAGGATAGCTCCTTAGGTCCCATACCTTGTCTGAAGTTTCCGGCATTCAGGGTCCTCTTCTCGGGCTGGAAAACCATGGTCTGAGGCTGGTTTACAGGGCACGGAAGAGAGGTGGACTTCAGAAATACCCAGCCCGGGTCCAGCCAGGACGAGGCTGTGGCCCCAGCTTGGGGTCAGCTCTCCTGCCAGGCTCTACCTTAGTGGCACGCTTCCTACCTGATGAGGCACCTGCTCCTCCTGCCCCGGCCCCCAAATCTGCTGGTGAAGAGGCCCAGGCCCAGGGCAAGTGGCGGTTCTCTTTGCTCACCTGTGTCCCGCCCCTGCTGAAATGGCACTTCCCAAACACGGAGCAGCCTCTTCCTGGTCCCCTGGCCCCTGCTTGTTCTCGCTGACGACAAACCTGAGCAGCCTGCCCCTTCAGCTTGGGGGGGGACCCGTGCCCTTCTCCTGGTGCAGATGCCCAGGGCCATCGCTGGGGACGTTGGGCAGCCTTCCTCCTGTTGCTCCCCGGGGGTGGGAGCCATTTGGGCTTCGTGTTTGCTGCTCAGTTCCAGCAGCCCCCGAGGGCCCCCCATCAGGGGGCACAGGAGACCTGGCACTCATCAACCCTGCAGCAGTGGCTCCCCGCGGGGGGGGGGGCAGTGCGTTGTGCTCCTTCCCTCCAGGGAACAGGTTGGCTGGTCACAAGGTGTGGTAGGGGGTGTGCCATTGACGTCCAGTGGGGAGAGGCCAGCCATGCTGCAGACCAGAGGACTGTCAGCTGGAATGTCCCCAGGGGTCAGTGTGGAGTTGCTACAAGGAAGAAATTCTAAAGAAAACAGTGAGATGTACTCTCCACGATACGGTCTACTTACAATGACTTCAAAGGGAGTTTGTACTGGAAACACCTTTTCTCCTGTGAGCACCCTTGTCCCTTGGTACCTGGGGGACGGTTCCCACGTAGGAAATGGCACCGTGCTTGCATACAGCCTGTGCACAGCCACCTGCAGGCCTCGACTCCTCTCTAGATGGCTCATAGTACTGCACACTGGGAAATCAGTTGTTGTACTACTTTGTTTAGGAAGTAATGACAAGAAGAAAAAGCCCAGCAGGTTTAGTACAGATGCGATTGTTGTTTATGAATATTCTCCATCATTATCGATAGATTCCAGGACTCAAAACTCACCAACACAGAGGGCACACTGTGCAGTGGACTCACGCCGAGGTCCCGTCCTAAACTGTAAGTCTCTCTTGAACAGTCACCAAAAAAGGCACAAAAATCACATGACTAAGAATTAATAAACTGAGATCCTTAAAAATCACCTAGTGGTGTTCTGGTAACGGGTTAAATTAACGAAGACTAACTCCCAGGAGCCTTCATGGGCTGCAGGTTTGAGAAAGTAGATGGGGATCGGTGTCAACGCTGAGTCCCAGACACCCCATCAGGGGCAGTAGTATCTCCTGCTCCTGTGCTGTCTGGGATATTTTAGGTTTTGTGGTTCACACACTCTGTCTCCTATCCGGAAATGACTCGACTCTGCTTTTGAAAACAGCCGTGAACACTGTGGAAGTGAGCAGGTGTGGGCTGGGCCTGGCCCCTGGGTGGAAGTTTTGACTTGGCTTAAGCTTTCCCCTTTTTATTTTATACCAACCATGAACTTGTGGATGTTGTTGCATCAGGAGAAATTATGAAAACACACCAGGATGTTGGCATGTCTCATAGCCTTCAGCGAGATCCTACAAGGAGCAGATCTTGGACCAAGTGGTCTGCTAATAAGCAAAACTGAAATAGAGTGTGGCTTTGCTGAGCCCATTTCTGCCTGGGACCTGCCATCTACATTGCTGCAGATTCGTGGCAGCTGCCTTGTGATCTAATGATTAGAAGCTTTGAAGGACAGTGAATTCAACTCAAGGGTCAGAGAACGCTCTCGGGAAGGTCCAGGCAGGATTTTCGGCTTGTTAGGCCATATGGTTGCTATAGCAACTCTCCCACCCAAGCGGGCAGGCCCCAGCACAAATGGGCGTGGCTGTTTCCAATAAAACTTTATGGACACTGACATTCGAACTTCAGACACTTCCACAGGCACCAGGCACTCTTCTTCTCACCTTCCCCCAACCACTTAGAAATGCAAAGGCCATGTCCAGTTCCTGGGTCAACAGAAACAGGCAGCCGGGCAGATCCGGCCAGTCGGGCTCTAGTCTGTGTCCTGGATAAGATCAGCACACAGGATGTCCCCTGTGAAAGGCCATCGCAGACTCTTCCCACGGGTTTCCCTCCCTCCATCTCTGGCCTCGGGTTGAGACAGTGGGGTCTCACTCCCTGCTCCGGCAGGAGCCGGGTGCAGCCACCAGACACTAGCTCTGGGGTGCTGGAGTTGGGTCTCAGACGGTGAGATCAGGCCAGAGACCAGGGTGGTCATGACGCACCTAGTGCCCAGTGCAGTGCGCATCCACATAGCTACACACATACTTGGTGAATGAATGAAGACAGAGGCATAAAACTCAGGCTTCTGCACCCATCTGCCACATGCATCCAAGAAAACAAAATCGACACCAGATAAACCAGGGCACGGTGTGTCTCAGAGGTGGGCGCGGCTCAGCGTGCCCGAGGCTCTGGGTCCCAGCCCAGCAGCAGAACAGAGAAACAAAGAACGTGAACAGTATCAAACTCATCAAACTATTAAAATGTACTTATTAAAGCAAAAAGAAGGAATTGGGAAGGGGTATATATTCCCCAAAGATAAACTTAAAATAACCCTTTTTACTCTAAACTTTTTAAATTTGGATTCATCAGGACTTAGTGCTGCGGAAAGGCATATGTGTCCAAAAAATGTGCAAAAGCCCAAGGTACTTTGGAAGGATATTCTAACAGGACAATGGAAAGGTCCTGACCCAGTAATTGTCTGGAGTCGGGGGTCTGTTTATGTGTTTCCACAGGGAGAACAGCAGCTGATTCGGATTCCAGAAAGATTAACTAAAGCGATTTCTACAGACCAAAAAGAAGATGATTTGGCTCACAGTGGCCCCAGCAACATCTAGCTGACTGGCTCCTCGGCCCCAGCAACATCTAGCTGATTGGCTCCTCTGCGGTGATGCTCATTGGGCTGTTTCCCTGCCCTTTCAGACCACGGAGCTGCTCATTGGGGGACTTTTTTGGCTCCGCCCACGTGACCCAGCCAATCGGCCTCAAGAGCAGGAGGATTGTGGGAGGTGGGGAGAAGCTTGTGTGGGAGAGAGAGGCTTGTGGAAAGCCGGTGGTGGCAGTTGAGGCTCTGAGGGTTTTTCCTGAGAGGCTGTTTTGTTTGGCGTGTGTGGTTCTAAAAATAAAGTTAGTTTCTTTTGACAAGTGGCTCCTGATTGTGCCCAGCCAGACTGCGGCACCCTGGGAACTCCAGGTCACAGCCTCCTGGAGGCAAGGAAATGGAGGTCCCCTAGAGAGAGGGGTGCCTTTGACTGCCTTTGGCTTCCCTTAAAGTTCAAAGAGATCTTGGGGGGGGGAGAGCGAGGAAGGGTATGAAAGGCCCTGTGCACGCGCCCTGGGTCTCTCGGGCTGGACCCTGCAGCACAGCATGCTCCCGCGACGATCTCATTTCCATCCTGACCCACCCTTTAAAGCCAAGGTCTTCATTAACATCAACTAGAGAACAGGACCAATCACATATTTCCCATCTGCAAAGTGGACATGGGGGCCACTTGCTCAAGACGGTGCTAGGAGATCACCCACCAGGCAGGGGCGTGGGATCCTGTGCCCTGCTGAGGTGGCCACCACGCCAGCCCCTGAGAGAGCAGGAGGAGCGGAGGTGACCTCCTGACGGCTGTCGGTCATCAGCGGCTTGCTGTAGAAACCCTATGTTGTCACCTTAACGAGACACCCGCTGACCCCGCTGCTCCGGGGCGGCATCTCTACCCTAGATATCATCACGCCAGGGAACACTCGAGTCTGCTGCTCTGAGCAATTCGTCTTAAATTTTATTTTTCATGTACAGTTTCAGATCATACAAAACATAGAAAATGGACTGTTTTAAAGGCACAGTAAGCAGCAAGTCTCTAACTGCCCTAAATTCACATGTGTCCCCAAAGCAAGCTTCTTCAGTAGCCTCTCAGCCTTCCCCTGGGACCTCCCCATCACCGGCGCCTTCCCATGTACAAAATGGCCGAGTTGCTCTTTGGTGAGTAACCTGTAAATCACTAGCGAGTTTAGTGATTCACTCCCCACGCAGGAGGCCGCCGCAGTGGGTCTTCACCGTGGGGTACTGCGGAGCATCCTGGGGTCAGCCTGGCCACACACAGGCACGACCCCGCGGCAGGGGGCGGGCGCAGGGGGCCCCACTCTCCTGCATTCAGACGTCCCGCAGGGTGACGCGCCAAGCAAGCTCCAAACTCGTTTGAACAGAGACCCAAAATAATTTTAATGCAAATAACAAAACAAGTTAGTCTGTCCCCATCACGTGCCCCCCATGAAAGAATTACAGTACTTTATAAAAATGTCATAAGATGCGCAGGCTACATTCCTTCCAACACAGTGGCAGATTTGGTCCTGACATTGGCTTCTTGGATGTCCAGCTAATTTGGTGGTGGTTCTCGAGCCAATGACGATGAGCACCAGGTGGGTCCGTCTACCTGCGGGAGGACGAGGGGCAGCCGCCCCACCCTCCCGACTTCCCACACGCCTCACCACAGTCGTGTCACAGATGGAGGGACCCAGTGCAGCCCGCTGGGAGACCCCGGGCTGCTCCAGATCAGGGGTGACAGATACTCTGTGGCCCCAGAGTTATTTTGTGGGGGGGAGTTCGTGCCTTGCATGGGGGTTGGGCTTTCCACAGCTCTGGTTCTAAGGAGTTTTGATTGTTTCTATTGTGAATATCAGAAAGTTCTAGAAAAGCCACCTGGGTAGAAAGCCTAGGGGAGGGCGCCCCAGACCCAGCTTCCTCCTACAGCACCCTGCCGACCCCAGGGGTGCGGCTCACGTCCTTGCCCACAGTGAGCCTGGTGACCCTTTTCCATGGGGTCAGGAGGGGACCATCGTCCTGTCTCTGGCCCGTGGCACTGGGCTGACAGTGACCCCTCCACAGAGAGTGGGTCCTGCTTCAGAGACGGCAAACTCCACACGGGAGCCCCCCCAGGGCCTGGAACACGGAAAACACTTAATACAACTGTGGAAACCAGCGAATGAGTGAAGAGACACTGCTCTGCACTGAAGGGGCCTTGGTGACCCTGAAAGTACTCCCACCGGACGGACGTCTCCCTAGCTCCACCTCCGCTGGGCCGATGGCAGACCACCCGGTCAGGGCCAAGGTATTTAAACAGCCCACGATCCCCTACGCCATCCCAGGGTCACCTCCCGGGGGGGATGCTCAAACACAAGAGGAGAAGGGTGCTGAGGTACGAGGTCGGGCTCCTGACGACCCCAGGACGCTCTCGGAATCACCAGGAGTGCTCACTCCCCGGCCCCTGCCCTGGAAGCCTGAGGACTATGGCCCTGGGGGATGCGCCTCTGCTTGCTGGCTGGGGACCCAGGACCCTCCATGGAAGTGTCCTCTGGCCACAACGCAGACAGGTACTGGGCAGAGCCCCACGTGTCGGAGTCAAGTGGAGCTATGTTTAGAGGGAGCTGAACGCCCGGAGCTGCTAGGACAGGTGGGCACCAAGCCCGCTCCTGCCCGGGCCTCCGCCTGACTGCTCGGTGGCGTCTGCCGCTCCATCACGGCTTGTAACTAGCTCTGACTGGTTTCTAGTCTTTCTTCTCCACCTGATGATGACCCTGTGAGGACGCAGGTTGTCTAGACAGGGTCCCCTGCGCCTGCCACGTGGCAAGCACGCCGTCACTTATGCTGACGAATGAATGGATGAAGGACCGAACAGTGGCAGGTCCTCTGGGCTCCAGGACAGGGGTCAGGGAGGCTCGCCAGCCTCAGAATGTAGGACAGAAAGGGAGGCTGGGGAGGAGGCTGCACAGCCTCTGGAGGTGTCAGGGCCTGGGAGAGGAGCTCGGTGGCCCAGAGTGAGAACCAAGAGGGGTCGGGGGCTGAGGTCTGGCCTCAGTGGGGCCATCTGCACATGACCAGGCCACTGACCTGTCCAAGACGGCTCTGCCACCGGCTCCGGGAGGTGGTCCCCAGCTCTAAGCCATCTAAGCGTCTCCTGGGAGCCCACTAGAAATGCAGCTCGCAGGCCGTCTGCTGGACGCTGGCTCTGCGGGTCTGGGGGCGTCCACAGTCTGCATTTGAAGATGCCCTAAGGAACTTTTTGCAGCGATTCTTTGCCTTCATGTGACACAGGTTACAGACCCCTGTCCCTGACGCAGGCAGAGATGCTGTCAGCAGCTCTGGGCTGTGGCCCAGCCTGCTGCAGGAGGCGGGGGCCCGGCTCACTACAGACAGAACGCAGCCCTGATGCCGGTTCTCACGCGGGGCTCGGGCCGACATGAAGGTCACCCCTCGCCTGGGCCCTTTTGGGAGGAAGCTGAGGAGGAGCCCGGCCAACCCTGCAGGAAGCGTGTCCCCAGGGACTGGCTGCCTCCTCCCTCACGACCCCCCACCCTGCCCCGCTTAAGAAGCAGCCGCCTGCCTTTCCTGGTCTCCGCGGCTGGATGGGCCTTTGTCTTGCTCAGGCTTTTGGGTGGGCAGCAGTTCTGAATGCCAGCCGGAATGCCAGTCTCCTCTCATCCCAAGAATGCAAAAACGCTTCTCTCTCCCTCTCTCTCTTTTTTTTTTCTTTTTTTTTGGCTTTTAAAGGAAACAATATGTTTGCTAGAAAAACCACAAAAAAACGATTATATACAAAACGGTTATCTGAGTGTGGACTCTGAGGTGCAGGGAGGGTGGCGGGCCCTGGAGCTACTTGCGCTTCCTCAGTATCAGGTACATGATGCCGCTGATGAAGGTGAAGGCGAAGGCCACCCAGGCCAGGATGAAGGCGTAGCCGTACCTGCCCTCCGACGTCAGGGAGTAGTAATCCTGGTTGCTCTCGTGAAGGTCCTGGCGCCGGTCTGTGTAGATGGCAGCCGCGATCATCACACACAGACCTGCCAGAAAGAAAGCGGGGGCTCGATGGGGAGCCGCGGGAGCTGCGCCCAGGACGGATGAGCCACATCCCCAGCCCTTTCCATATTTTTATTTCAACAGGGTCTTGCTCAGTTGCTGAGGCTGGCCTTGAGCTTGCGATCCTCCTGCCTCAGCCTCCTGAATGCGCCACCTGCCTGGCTCACAGCAGAATATTGCCATCTACCCTAAAGCCACATTGCTTACTAGCTGAAACCTGTTTTGTGTGGGCAGCCAAGAACCCTGTCCAGAGGACACGTCACTCTTGGTGTAAGCCAGAGGCCAGCAAACTTGTCCTACAAAGGACCACGAAGTAAATAGTTTAGGCTTTTAAGGGCTAGAGGAGTCGCCACTGCTCGACTCTGGCCGGAGCGTGATGGCAGCCAGGGAGAGCACATTAAAAAATGGGAGTGGCTGTGTTCCAATAAAACTTTATTTACACAAACACAAGGCAGGCCAGATTATTTGTCACCCCAGTTTACTAGCTAAAGTTTATGGACACAATTGTATGTGACCCTAGTTCTGGCCAGAGAAAATTCTTCAATGAAAAATATTAGCCCCTGAAAAGAGATGAAGGAGGAAAAAGCATATTTTAATTGTTTTCCTTCTCCCCTGCTGAATGCTTTAGATGCTATTAGATCAGGATGAAATGTCTGGACTTACAATAGCCCTTTTGGGGTCATGAAGAGGCTGTCACTCACAGTCTGAAGATGACAGACTAGAAGGATGGGAAGAGACGGGGTGCTTGATGCTGTGAGCCCTCAAACCAGCTCTGGCACTTTCAACCTACAGGCTACTTGTTATGTAAAAGCAGTGACTATCTTTATGGCTGAAGTCATTGATAATTGGATTTTCTCTCAGGCACAGCCACAGTATTGTAGCTGAACACTTGATGACATTCACAGAGGTCAGTGCCAACAGGAGGCTAAGCTCCCTGATTGTCTTAGGACCCCGCCCTGGTCCAGCCAGGCTGTCTTTGTGGGACTGTCCATCCAGGGGCCCAGACTCCTCTGGGCAGCTTATAACAACGAATAGTCACGTCGTGGAGTGGACGTCTTCATCCACTTTCTGTCTTGCTAAACTTCATAGGTACAAAAAGTGCTGTGCCACCTCCACCTTCTCTAAGTTCCTTCAGGACCGGGACCATGCGGTCATCTCTTACCTCCAGCCGGCAGCAGGGGCTTGGCCCAAGGTGGGCACTTCTGCCACCGACCAGCCTAAACTCTGCTGATGGCTCCCGCCAGCTTAGGATGCAGACCCCAAGTGCTGTCCGTGGCCTACAGGACCCCACGGGTCTGGACCCCCGCTGGCCCACCTCCCACACCTCCCCTTGCCACGGGCCGGCTCTTGACTCCTGGCCACGCTGCTCCCCGGCCAGCGTGCTGCCCCCTCCCCGCTGCCCCAACACAGCACAGGGGTGACAGCGGCTCCTGCACCCTGACAGGTCCCCGCTCAGCTCAGTGCCTTTGGGGGGCCTTCCCTGACCCCAACTGACCAGGCTCTCAATACACACTGCCGCGGGGACCGGAGGGGACCGCTGCCCGCCCTGACTCACACGACAGCAGCTGGATGGTGGCGGTCAGCACGAACCTCGCTCCCTGCTTGAGGCGGAAGAGCTGCAGCATGAAGATGAAGAAGGCCATGCAGCAGAGGGCGCTGGACAGGGTCATGGAGGCCTGCACCGCCTGCAGCGTCGCGTAGCCTGCGGGCAGAGGCCGAGCGCCAGGCTGAGGACGGACCCACAGCCACCGAGAGAGCCGCAGAGCCGCCTCACAGGATGCGCCTGGGATCTGGGCCCAGGGGCAGCAAGGAGCCCCCGACCCCTCCCCACAGCCACACACCCCCCTGACGGGGGGCCCTGACGCCCTTATCTGGAAGGTGGAGGAGGAGCCCCTCTGAGGGCCCCTCCAAAACCGGCCTCAGCTGAGCTTGGCCAGCAGTTCCCTGACCACTGCCTTAGGGACAACCACCAGCAAGCGGTCCCACAGGCTGTGACAGACCAGCAAGTGACAGAGGCTTGCTTGGGACGTGGGCACACACTGGCCACAGCTGGGTTTGCCAGGTAGGAAGAATGGCGGTCCCTGGGCTGAGGCTCAGCGTGACAAACAGAGTGGGAGAGAGGTGGCGCTGATGGCTCCGTGTGCTTGGCTGTTGGTCATGGTCATGTCTAGAAGGAATCCTGGCTCCACCGACTGCTTCTGGCTGGGCCACTTCCGGTCACACAACTGTTCTCTGCCTCAGTTTCCCTATGGTTCCCGCCTGGCGAGGCCGTGCATAAAGGGCCCAGCCCCTGCTCAGGGCGGACCTCAGGGCACCCCGCCTGCCACTGGTATCTCTGCCGCTGGGGTGTGAACGTGGATGCTGTCCCCAGGCAAGCACTTCACCACGGAGCCCCGGCCCCAGCCCTGGCTGCTGCTCTCCAGTGCGCACTGAGACCCTGGGACCCAGAGAGAAGCACCCTCTGCTCCCCAAACCAGAGATCAGTTGTCGGCACCAAAAGAGGGTGCCCGGGTGAACCCGAGTGTCGGTAGACAGTGACTGATCTGAGGCGCGAGACGGTCTCATGTAATACGTGGGACATGCTCATAAGAAAAAATGATTCACTGTTTATCTGAAACACCGATGTAACAGGGCGCCCGTATTTTGTCAGATACGAGGGATCCCAAAGTGCATCTTGACTTGGTTCTACAGGGACAGCTGCCCTTCACAATGAGAGACAGCGGCTGGGGTGCAGCTCAGTGCTGGGGGGTATGCTTCGTACGCACCAGGGCCTGGATTCAATCCCAACACCACAAAAACTAAATTTAAAAATGTAGTTTTCTGTATCTCCAAAGCCCTTTTTCATATTTGACCTCATTTAAACAGGGACATGTAGCGGGTGTGGTGGCCCGCCCCTGTTAGCTCAGTGACAGGGAGGGGGCTGAGGCAGCAGGATCACAAGTTCAAGGTGAGCCTCTCAAAATACAAAATAAAAAGGCCCAGGATGTAGCTCAGGGGTGGAGTCCCCGAGTTTAATCCCATACGTACGCAGAGGTGAGGGTGGCTCAGGGCACTGGGGTCCTCAAAGCACTGCTGACCTGCCCAAGGGGCAGAAGTGCTCTGGGTTTCTGCCACAGTGGGTGGCTGCGACAGGGGACGTGGCCAGGCATGGACAAGGAAGAGGCAGAGGGGACCCAGAGGGGCTGAGGCTGTGGAAGGGGAAGGCGGGAAGCAGAAGAGGTGAGGCCCAGATCAGCTGGTCGGGTCCCCCTCCCCCTGTGCTGGGCGTGGGCAGACCCCTTGACCCGCCTCCGCAGGGGCACAGGTTCCTCTCCACTGTGCCTCCTCGGCCAGCTCCCGCCATCCACGCTCACCTTGAAAGTTGTCACCGATTTCCGTACAGTTGGTGCCATTTGTGCACACTCTCCAGACATCGGCATAGAAACCTTCTCCCACCCACCAGGCCTGCAGCGAGAAAGGGAAACGGGCGGTTAGAGAGGCAGACACCGGTGCCTCCTGGCAGGTCCTACTAGGACAGCTGGCAACGTCTGAGGACATTTTTAATTGTCACAAGTAAGGGCAGAGGTGCTGCTGGCATCCAGACAGAGGCCGGGATGTTGCTAAGCCAGGCACAACACACAGGAAAGCCCCAGACGACAGCAGTGCTGAAGGGAGAGCCTGGTCCGCAGGAGACCCGAATTCCCAGGACCTCTGCAAAGGCTCAGCAGGGCCGCGTGGGAATTGGAGGAGAGGACAGGGTCGTGTCCTCCAGGCCCTGCCCCAATCAAACCTGAACATGGATGCTCCAGAAGCCCCATGCTGAGGCCAGAGTCTCCATGCCTGGGCTCAGGGCCACGGGGCAGGGAGGACGCCTCCAAACTGTCCAAACTGCAATCAAGCCAACGGAGGGCACCGGGGGCCTCAGAGCACTGAGGTCACCGGATCCTGCCACTGTTGACCCGGGGCTCCAAGCGGGTGGGGAGGGGACTTACGTTGTCGATGGTGGCCACAAACAGCAGGGCTGCGGAGGTGATGTGGAAGATGATGATGAAGGCAAGGAGCACCAACATGGTGGCGGAGCAGGGCAGGCGGACGGCCAAGGGTCACGGCGAAGCCCAAGCAGGGTGTGCTAAGGAGGGGGACAGATTCAGATGTCATGATGCAATGAAGTTCAGTGGGGTCTTAGGACAAGCCAGTTCTGTCATCTTTCCTCGCCCGGGGTACACTGGACCAAAGGTGGCAGGAGGAGCTGTCCCCTGTTAGACCCAGCAGCCGAGAGTCCCTTGTGCCACAGGGAGGCAGGGACCAATCGGAATCTCTAATTCTGAACGGTGTTTCAGCTGCGGCTCCTCAGCCGACTGCGGGCACAGATCAGGAAGGAGGGGCTCTGCGTGTTAAAACGCTGCTCCCCAACCCTCTATCCCAGAAACTCGGTGAGCACTCACTCCCACAGGCCCTGCTAATGAAAAAGCAAAATGACCACGGTAGGAAAATAGTTCTTGATGATCTGGCCGCTTCTGAAATCAGTCCCCACTCAGACATCCCTCCTCTTAATACCATTTGAACAACATTGGCCCGTAACATACAAAAACACTGTGTGACCCACAGCTGCCATTTCTCTTCCCTCTCTCTGAGCACACAAGGAGACTACATTTCCCAGACTCCTTTGCAGCTAGGTTGGGGCCAAAGGTCACTTCTGTGGGAAGCCTCTGTGCTCCCTCCCCCAGGGAGTAGCAGGGGGCAGCGCAGCTGTGGCATGCTGAAGCCTCACACCCTGGACAGGGACTGCAGCTGAGAAATAAGCCTTTGACTGTTAAGCCACTGAGATCCCAGGGTGTTTTTTTTTTTTTTTAATTCTGGTAAGACAATCTGAATAATATACAACAGGAAGTGATTGCAAAACGAAGTTGGAGATCTGCCAAAAGAACTCAGGCTGCTCTCAACCGACGGGCGACACTGGATCCTTCTCAAAGGGGACCAAAGGCGGTAACATGTGAGAACTTGTTGGAGCTGGGCTAGTTCACATTAAAAGACGGGAAAAATAAACCTAGATGACATGGGGAGAGAGCATTGAAAAGAACGATTTCCATATCAGGGGGTTAAAAGTCCCACTGGGGAATGTTGACGAAGTCTGAACAGTTTTACAAACATGACCATCGGCTTGGTCAGCAAAAGCCAAATGTCAAGTGAAGATGTCACATCAACCCCTACAATCAACACTGGAGTCATTCTTCTTTCATTCATTCCTGTAATTTGTAATCAGATTCTATTATCAAATCTTATAGAACATAAAATTAATTAAAAATAGTTAAAAATCAGACCTTGCTTTGACTATGATAAAATTTTTGCCCAGTTTTAAATGGAATAAAACATATGTGCATGTACACACACATTTTTTTGCCCACCACTTGTCTAAACCAAACCTGTTTCTCTAAATACTTCAGTGCAGTTCTCAAAAGCAAGTCCAATAAAACTAATTATAACAAATTAAAAAAAAAAAGAAAAAAACAAGTCCAGGGGCTGGGATCGTGGCTCAGTGGTGGAGCACTTGCCTCCCATGTGGATTCGATCCACATAAAAATAAATAAAAATGAAGGTTCATCAACAACTAAAAATAAAAAAAAATTACAAGCAAGTCCATTTTCTCAGATAGCCACAGTACGATGACCACAACTATGAAATTTAACATGATACAATGCTGTTACCTCACTTGCAGTCTATTCAGACTTCTCTAATTATCCCAATATTTCATGTAGCTTCTTTTCCTGGCCCAGGATCCAGTCTAAGATGGTGGGTTGCATTTTGCCATCAAGACTCTTTAGTCTCCTTTAGGCTGGAATGGTACCTTTCTTTTCTTCTCATGACAGTGATAGAAGACTGCTGACCATTGTCATGGAAAATGCCTGGCGAACGTGTCTTTGAGGTGTCCCCACCGTCCGTCCGTCCGTTGGGTTGTTTTCCTGGCAGGACAGACACTTCATAGGCAATGCCTCCTGTGTACCCCACCGGGAGGCATGGTGTCAGACGGTGCCATTATTGATGGTGCCTACTTTGGTTGGTTGTGATCACTCATTGCACATTTTCTTTGTAATTCAACAGTCATTTCAGGGGGAGATAATTTTTATTGTGGTAAAACACACACATTATAAAACCTGCCCTTAGTGATGCTTAGTACATCCATCACCCCATCCTGTTCTAGAACATTCATCATCCTAACGGAAACTTTGCACCTTTTAAGCAGTCATTCCTCCTCTTCCCCTCCCCACAACCCGGCATCCATGATCTGCTTTCTGTCTGTAAGGATCTGCCTGCTGTGGACATGTCATATAAATGGAATCACGATATGTGATTCCTCTTCTCTCATTCAGCATGTTTCAGGGTTCATGCCTGTTGAAGGACGGGGAGCTCTTCTGAGATCACGCAGAGACCCTCTCCATGGAACTTTCATTTCCAAATCAGGATCATTTAAGACGGCCCTCCTCTGGCTACCTTTCTCTCCCTTCTCCAGTGAACATGCAGGAACCACTGCGGGAGCCCCCCGACCGCCTCTCTGCCAGCTCTTCCCTCGGACCATGACCACTCTCCCTCTGTTACCCCCTCCTGGAACTCACTGAGGCTCCTGGACTCACACAGGGTCTACTCCCGGAGACCCAGGATTTTCCAGAATGAGCCAGGAGCTACGTGGCTGCCCCTCGGTCTGGGAGGCCCCAGCAATGCTGTGCATCACCAGTTGGAAGGACCCAATGAGCCAGCTCAGAGATTCTTCCAATTCTTTTCAAATGGACAAATTCCCCTTTGTTCAGGCCTGCGTCATTCCCAGTTGCCATCGTATGCTGCCTCCAAATAGATGCATTTCTGACCCTTGGAAAAAAACTCACGAACCATCTAAAGGCCATGTCACTTAAATATGGGCTGGAATGTCAAAAGGCCAAGTTCTTCTGGCCGTAAACTCCTGGATGATGATAGCTTTACACATTGTCCAGCTTAGACAACACAAAAGCATATAGACATAAAACCAAAACTTTCTAGAAAAGGAAAAAAGGCTCTAACCCCCTCTTTCCCCAAGCATGAAATCCAAATGTTACAAGGATTATCTTGAATGGTGCACTGATAGGGAGCATTCGACCACATGATGAGAAAGTCCCCTCCAATGCTCCTGACTACACCAAGAAACAGGGCTAGTCTGTCTGTCACACCAATTTTGTTTTTTCAAAAGAAAAGACAGAGCTTTGTTAGACCATAGTTTGTAACTAGAATTTAATAACATTTTTGAGTTTATTATATTTATTTTCAAGGTTCTTTCTTTTTATAGTAATAGATTTATAGTAATGATATAAAGTGACACTTCAAAACAATTTTATTCAAGTTTTAAAGTGAGTCATTAAAGAAAAAGATTATGTTAATAAAAAGAGGGGGACCTCAGTGTTAGCAAGAACCCTGAGGGTGGATCTCAAATGCTTGATGCCTGGGAGGTACTGCCTTAACCCCTGGGAATGATCCTGGTTGAAAATCTCAGACATCAGGAATAGGTTCCTGCAGAGAAAGGGGTAAGTTCTTATTAGAGGTCAAGTAAGGTCTGAGTCCAGCATAAGGGAAGGGCTGGGGTCCATATATGGAAGGGTGACTTGAGACTGTTTGGGACCATTGGGTGCCCGCGAAAATTAGGGCACCGAGAAGTAGATGTCACCCACTTAGAATTCTCCCAGGATCACATCTGGAATTCAGAGCTCCAGTAAACAGATCAATAAATAAACAAACACAAAGAGTCGGGGTGCGGATCAGTGACAGAACTGTAAACCCAAGGACACTGCTGGTGACCTGACCCGAAACTTCGGGAGAAATCACTTATAAATTGAGAAAACCCCACCAGTCTTTAAGGGGGAATAAAAGTGGCTCTTTACTCCTGCATCTCGATGCAGAGTGAGTCTCCTCGCTCCACCACCACCCCTGGCCAGTCCCCCGTCCCTTCCTCGAGGTCACCGCCCTCCAGTTTCCCACGCAGCCTTCCAGAGACCCTCGTTAGGGGGAACATTTAATTCCCTCCCCCTGCTGTTCCCGCGTGAAGGGAGCAGCACCGGAGTAACACTTCCGCCTCATGCCCCGCCCCTCACTCACTCCTTCGCTCCTGATTGGAGGAGACATCCACGGTCCGCTTGCTGGGTTGGCGGAGCTCATCCATTAGGGTGCCCAGCCGCCCTCTGGGCCCTGGCCTCCTGAGGTTGACCTCTAACCCTATCCTGCCTCCGTTCTCAGCTGATGACAACCCACAGAGACGGGACGGTCCACCGCGTTCTTGGAATGGCTGCCTGGGGTCTGCTGCGGGGCTGTGCCCGCTCCCCTGCCCGGGCTCCCCGTGGATGCCATTGAGTTCTGCCACCTGCCCAGTCTGCGTCCTCGTCCCCCCCCCCCCACACACACTGGGTTAGAGCACCCCCGGGCAGGCCCCTGGGCGGGGGAGCGGGAGCCGAGTCCGTGCGTGTAAGTCATTTTACTCTGAGATTTCAATTTCATATAGTGCATCCAGGACCCCATCAGTGCCACCTCAGCTGACCTGTGGAGGTCTTCAGGGGGCACCACGTCCCGGGCCAGCTCACACACGACATGGGCGGTGGGTGGAGGAGCCTGGATGTCCTGATCCTTAACATCCTCTGGTTTCCTCGGAGGTGTGATTCTGGCCTCTAGAAACCGGCCTGTGCCATTCCCATGGCTTGTCCCAGCAATGCTGTCCCCTTGCTACAGCACCCCCACAGCACACCCTGTCCTCTCTGGAGACCCCGGGCTCCATGTTGGATGGAGACGGCCCACTGAACCCAGGGTGAATCAGAATTACTCCTTGACCTTCAAACTCATCTTCCCTTCAACGGACATAATACTGAATTCTGGTCCCCCCCACCACACACACCCCTGTTTCCTGAAGGCTTCAGTGCTCTCCCACTGTAGCCAGATTGGCCATGTCCCTTGGGCAGTCTCTCCTTTTCCCCGCAGCTCACACTCTCACGTTGTCTGGGTCTCATTTCAAACATCCCTCCCAAGAAAAGAGCCTCTGAGCACCAACGGGAAGCTACCACTCCTCCCTCCAGCACCATCCGTCCCCTGCCCCGAGTTTCTTTTTCTCCCAGGAGTTGCGCAGTCTGAAGTCATCTTGCTCTTTTGCTTGTGGTCTGTCTCCCCCTCTGTCTTCTGCCACCCTCGCTGTGCAGGAGCTGCCATTTCACAGTTATAGAAATGTTGAACTACCAAGGCCTCTGGAAAACTCAAGGCCTCGATTGTCCAGAAGCGAGAACTGAGGCCAGGGAGGGCCGAGACTGGATCCTGTCCCACGGCAAAGCAGGAACAGGACCAGGTCTAGAAATCTGCTGGCCAATGCCAGTCACCCTTGGATCTCGATGGAGACCTGTTGGAAGGCTCACAACAATCTTTCAGAAATCCACCACCATTTCCCAAAGGCCTCTGTCATGAACCACATTGTTTTTCCCTTCGTCATTTCTTCAGGGGCTGAATAGAATGTTCTTCTAAAGAGGCCTCCTGAGCCTGGGTGTTTACCTGCCTGAAATCAGGGGACTGCACTAGGGGAACGTTCCCAGTTCCTGTCTAGTAACCAGAATCCTGTGATTGCAGTGGGGTTTTTGTTTGGTTGCTTGGTTTGGGGTTTTGCTGGGGATTGAACCCAGGGCCTTGTGCATGCAAGGCAAGCCCTCTACCAGCTGAGCTGTGTCCCCAGCCTACAGTGGTCGTTGTTGTTGTTTTGCTGTTTTGATTGCAGCGATTCAACATATGTTTTGTCCTGTATAATAATGTGATGGTTTAAAAATAAATAAAAAAGATAAGCAGAACCAAAAGGTGTAAGATGAAACCTACAGCCTCTGCCCTACCTCAGTCGCACTCCTCTAAATGATCTAAATGATCACTCTCCCTTTTAGCCACCCCCTCCCCCGTAATTCCAGGCAGCATCTGTGCACTCTGTTTTCTGGTTGTTATCGGTATCTTCCTGCTTAGGGAAGAGTTTTTCTCCTTACTGCCACTTATTCCCGTCTCCTCCCCCATTATCCCATTCCGTATCAGAAGATCAGTCGTTGTTCCCTCGGTCATCCCCATGTAAACCTGTACACTGCAGAGCCAAACAGTGTGCTGTTTGTCACTCTTTGACAAACCCTTTTCCCAAACCATTTCTACTGTCTTTCTCTTCTCAGTGTTCTTCTTCCCCCTCTCTGTGGCTCCATCTCTCTCCCATATTTCTTTCTAAGCTCTGCCTCAGTTTTTTTCTCCTTCTGTCTTCTGTTGCAGAATCCCAGGTGCAAAGCAAATGCCCCGTGTCTGTTCCAAGATCATGGGGTGAGATTTGCCTTCGTGGAGCTCATTTTCCAGCCAGTCCCTCTCCAGACTCTGCCCTCCCCGGCCCTCTGCCGCGTGCAGCCTCAGCAGCTGCTACTGTCCCTGGACAATGAGGACAAGCAGTCCACACATGGCACTCTTCAGGGAAGACGGGCAGATTCGGTTCTGGGCTGGCCCGACTCCAAGACAAGCAGGAGGTGAAGCACATCCGGGGGATGGAGCCCGGAGGGGCACCCCCCCTGAAGGCGAGACTCGTCATGATTAAAGGTCCAGCTGTGGTTTACACGGTGTGTCCTGCATTGGTCTTTATGTCAGCTTGATGGGGCCAGCAGAGCCAGGGGTCATTAGCCACGTTTTACAGATGAGGAACTAGGCTCCCAGAGCCTTCCAGGGATTGCCAAAGTGGGCAGAGCTGGACTCCAACCCCTGGCTTTGCAGTTCCAAACCCTGGACACTGTGCTGCTCTCCCTTTCATACTCACACGCTTGACTGACGAAAACAGGCCGGAGGACACAAAGCGTCAGGTCACCACTTCTCCATCTCCTGTGGCTGGACTGCTCTTGACCTTCGCACCAGGCAGGAGGGTTGATGACGGCGGCTTCTTCCTGCACCCGCCCAGCA